CTGTTTGTTTCAGCCTCTTAATGGTTCAGATGTCTGAATGGTTAAGAGATTTGCCTCTGAATGGTTAAGTATTATACAGAGTCTGAATGGTTAAGACCTCTTATCTGAATTGATCAGACATTTGCCTCTGAATAGTTAAGCAATATACTAGCTCTTAATAGTTCAGACCTCTTACTGGTTCAGCACTTAATGGTTCAGACCTCTTACTGGTTCAGCACTTACCGATTCAGAAGTTGCCAAACAACCCCTTAGTCTGAAAGGGGCTGCAGACCTGGACGGATTAGGGTGTTACACTTCCCACAACTAAAGTCATCTCATTGTAGTAATACATCTTCTTATTCAATAAGATTTCGTATTTTGGATGTGCATGTACAAATATGTATAAACATTCAAACAAAAGTGTACATATAAAAACATTGCAGAAAACACAAAATGCAACGAAAACATAAAATGTTACCGTGACAGCTTCTTCATAAGTAGAACGATCACACGTGATCATCTTTATATTGTGATCCCACCCAAAGCCACTCTTTTCTCGTAGCATGCATATTATCGTCCAAGTGCCTTTCACGGTTTTCAAGTGATTCTCAACATGCTTGTGCTCACATTGCACTTTGAACATTTCAAATATGGTAGAGGCTACTCGGTTCAAGGATGAAGACCCAAAAGAAGATGTAGTGTTATTTGGATTCCTAGCTTCCTCTGCTAGAATCTCAAGAAACACACGCTCCATTGCTTAGACCATCTGAATTGTTTAGAAGTCGCAACTGCGGTACTTCCCTTACCCATGTTACAACACATAAGTATCAATAAAAACATGATTATGAAACATGATTATGATAGAGCCAATATCATATGCACAAAATATACTCAGATTGGTAAACTTTGTAAATATTACATGTCAATTCAAGTGTTTGTCTTTAGCAAATCAAATTTTTTTAACACACAAAAATTCCAGAATGTACTTTGGAATTTCAAGTAAACTCATTGGAATTTCGAGATTGTTATTTTGAAAAAACTTAAAATTTCAGAGCAGGACTAAAAACTTGAACATCTCATTTTCAAAACATGTTAGGCAACAATATCTTGTTTCTCAAAATAAATTTTATTCATGGCTTAGTACTACCATATTGCAGAAAAAATATCTCACCGGAACACTTTCAAGGAATGGGGGCAAGAACATGATGTGGTCCGGGCAATGTAATTGAGAGAAGATGAAGCGATGAGAAGAATGAGAGACGGAAGAGAATGAGAGCGTGGATAAGAAATACGAAGAGAATGAGAGGAAAATGAATTCCTGATTATTAAACCGGAAGTCAATTTACGAATATGAGATGAGATTTTCCTTTGACCATAAGTATCAATTCCATATTGATAATCATTTTCCTACATAGCCAAACAACGGGAAATCTGGAAAATGACTTCCAGAACTCATTTTCCAGATTTCCAAACAAACCCTTAATTTCTATCTATTTCAAACTGATTCTCCTATTAAAAAAATAATTTTTTTGGTTAATGTTTGTTATGGTGTATAACTTTTAAAATTTTATAAATAAAGTACAATCGTGCATTTTTCATGTTTATTAATTCTTATACAAAAAGTGGTTTAAAAAGAATTAATTCTCTAAGTAGTCCATTATAACAAGGTATTTTTCGTATTTAAACCATATATATATATATATATATATATATATATATATATATATATATATTAAATATTATGTTCGCGGTCTTTATTGATTGGGTATCATTCAACGTTTAGTCTTTCTCTAACGGCACGGAGATGAAAAAATAGACTAAGGATCAAACGTGGAATGATGTCAATTAATAAGAACTGTCAACATAATATTTAACAAATATAGACTAAATGCAGAAAACCTCGATTATAAAAGATTATTTAGAGAATTTACTCAGAGAAATTTAAGAGTATAAATGCTAATAACTAATCATAATATGGAGTTATACTAAGTTACTAACATTAAAAAACGATACAAGTAATTTACATATTTACATGAAAAACTTTGATGTTATAATGAAAAACAAAGTATTTTACCAAAAAATACTCTGTAATTGATATTTACATGCGGATGCATTGGGAGAATTTGGAATCTCCCAGACGTTTGTCGGACACTCGAAACATATTTTTTTATACATAGAACCGAATTGAAAACTTTTATGATTTCGTTCTTTGTTTTGAATAATGCTCGAATCACATGATCTTTAAATAGCAAAAATTTTAATTTCTAAATACGCCTCTTAACCCGTTGGATCAACCCGAACCCGATAACTCTGGGTCATGAACAAGCACTCTTAAACCCGAACCTGAAATAACCCGAACCCGACTTTACCGAACCCAAATCCGACCTGACCGACCGTTTTGCCAGGTCTAAACCCACCCCTAGTGTCAGGCATAGTCAGCTTGTAGTATTTTTGTCTTTTTTACACTAGATTACTCCACCGCTGCATTACTCTAAATTTTTTTAGATTTCACACCGAGGCTTTCATCTTTTCCTGCGCGATTTTTCATCTACATAGAATGGTATGTATATTATTTTATTATTTCTATTAAATTCCTTATGTAAAGTAGAATATGTTTGATAACTAATTACGGAGTATCTATTTCTACAAGATCTATTGAACAACTGGTTGTACCCGGCCATCTTTGGGGACAACTAAGACCCATTTTTGTGTACAATCAAGATAGGTACAACCAATTGTGAAATGGAGTGCAAGAACAGAGAGCTAATTGACAATCGATTGAGAAGAGTTCAGCCACTATCGGAACTCTAATTTGGTGTGGCAGAATAGGTGCGACAAATTTTGGCCCTACACAGGTGGGGAGAGGTGGGGGAGGAAGTATTATCGTCAGTGTTTGAAATAAGGTATTGCGAGCAATGGTGTGAACAAGATGACTATTTAATAACTGCAATGAACATTTTGGTGTTTTCAAATTAACTGTAACACCTTGGCCAAAAGGGTCCACTCATAGGATTGTAGACTGGCCCCACAAACCAACACAAGTCTTTCTCGCACACTTTGTCCTCACTCGTGTGTGTCCAAGGAATTTCCTAGGGTCACCCATCCTAGAATTGCTCTAAATCAAGCACGCTTAACTTTAGAGTTTCTAGGTGATGAGCTCTCGAAAAGAAGATGCCCCTTGTTGGTATGAGTAGTACTATCAATCCTTTTGAGCCTTTCCTATTCCCACCTTAATACAGGGTATTACATTCACCCCCACTTAGGAATACAACGTCCTCGTTGCATCCTTTTTTTAAAACCCCCAGATCTTCCCCGCTAGGTGAACTAAGCTCTTTTGGCCCGTCACGGTCGCAGGGTTGCTCTGATACCATTTGTAACACCCCGGCCCCCACCCTGGCCATACGCGTCTGCTCATAGGATTGTAGACTGGCCCCACAAACCAACACAAGTCTTTCCCGCACACTTTGTCCTCACTCGTGCGCGCCTAAGGAATTTCCCAAGGAGTCACCCATCCAAGAATTGCTACAGGTCAAGCACGCTTAACTTTGGAGTTTCTAGGTGATGAGCTCTCGAAAAGAAAATGCACCTTGTTGGTATGAGTAGTACTATCAATCCTTTTGAGAATTTCCTATTCCAATCTTAATACGGGGTATTACATTAACAGTGTATAATTATAATGAACTAATGTTGTTTTTCAATGAATAAATGTCTAAAAATAAATATTTTAGTTTGTTGATCAAAAATGAACAAATTTGTGAAAGCATAGTTTTTAGAACCGGACCGACATCGAATTGGTCGAGATACTGGTTTACTAGTTCACTGGCCAAACCAGTAGCTCGAATGGTTGAATCAGTGGTTCAAACATTTTTGAGAATTACACACACACACACATAGACACAGACACAATATAATAAAACAATATTTCCTCCATCTAAAAACAAATTATTTATGATATATGACTTAAGTTATCATCAATTTATTTAATTTGAATAGTAGCATTAAATTGATAAAATTATATATTTTTTTCTTCTCTGTTTCTCACTTTCTCCTCCATCTGCCACTTCAATTCTTTTCTCCCTTCTTCTTCTTCCACTTTCTTCACCTTCTTTCTTCACACGGAGATCTATCCCCCTTCATCTTCTTCCCCTTCTTTTTTCTAGATCTAAACAATTTTGTGCCTCCAACACCCTCCGCATCTTCGTCTTCTTCTTATTCCCTTAGCTTCCTCCTCGGTTTTCTTTCTTTGAGTTCTCCCACCTCTTCTAGATCTAAACAAATCTACGCTTCCATCACCCTCCACATCTTCTATAACACCCTAATCCGTCCAGGTCTGCAGCCCCTTTCAGACTAAAGTAATAAACTTGGTATTCGTAAATATTCAAATATTTCAAACATTTAAAAACTTTATTTAATAATGAAATTATCCAAGATAATAACGAAGTAGTTTAATTTTGCGGAAGCTGAATATATAACAATTACAAAACATAGTAATTTCATGTCTTTTAAAACATCAATTCATTTAACATGACCACCACGACCATCTCGCTCCTGTCTGCCTCCAGAAATCATCACTTCATTCATTTTGTCTACCTGCGTGTAGCAGATAAAACATACTACACGCTCAGCGGTGAAGCTGAATAAGCATATCTAAAGCGTCGAACATCCACATAAATTGAATCTCAATTCACAAACAACCATTTGTTATCATGCACACAATATATAATTCATTCATGATATTCTCAATATTTTTATTCCAATATCTCAACATTCAACATTCATATTCAATATTCAATATTCATCAATATCCTTAAACTATACTTAGTCTAAGGTCAATCTTTTTTATGTTTACCAACTCTTAAACTAATTCTAGTTCAAGGTACTTCTATCCAACTCTTAAGCTAGGTCATTAGTTTAAGGTACATATATTCCGATTGATTTACCAATTTTTAAACTAGCCTTCGTTTAAGGTACAAATCCAGAAAACCAAACAGTAGAATACTAACTGTCGGGTTGGGTGGTATCCATAATAATCATGAATCATATAACATTCAAAGTAATAGCAATTAGCGGTCTAGCTTCGAGTGTTAACACCCTAGCTTACCGTCATGCATCACGTAAGGTCTTTAATTGTCAAAACATCATTTTTATTTCCAGAATTTATTATTCATATTGATCATAATTGATTAGTTTTAAAAAAATAGGATTTAATGGTTCAAAAATCGGATTTTCTGGGAATTAATCGGATTAGACAGTACCCTTCACGGTACCTCAATACCGGCTAACGGTATCTCTGTACCGTGCCGGCGGTAGGGGGGTACCGCCGGTGGACAAGTACCGCCAGAGGAGCTTGGTGGCGACGGTAGCTCCCCACCGTCCCAGCGGTAGATGGGTACCGTTTAGGCGGTACCTACCTACCGTGCCGGCGGTAGTGGGTCACCGTGCACTGTTCATCGTCTTCAATTAAACTATATAGAAATGTTCTCCAATGTTCATGGGTCATTATGGTATCATTAATTCATAGTTTTAACATCAAATTCAAGGTTTATGATTCTTAGTTCTTCAAACATGTCAAACACAAAACTCAACCAAATGACCATTTATGAATGTAGAAACGACCTGTATGAACATTCTAGTCATTAGATATATCTACGGGCTTACCTCGAAGTGTAATGGAGGTTTTGAAGATTTTCCGGCGAAACTTCCGGCGACAAAAGCTCTCAACTCCGGCGACCTCTCTCTGAAATGGAAGCACCAGCAAACTCTCCTCACTCAGGGCAGCAGAATAGAAAGAAATTTGGGATGATTTGGTGGAGAATTGAGAGAGTTAGGATTCCTTAAATAGAGGAAGGAAGGAGAAGAAACCAACTGAAGAAATATTCCTGAATCACTCAAATCGGCTAGTGCGCCGATTAAACAGTAAGCGCCGATTGGAGTGTAGTCCCTGATTGGGACTAATTTCTGGTCCCAATCGGGTTACACTTTTTGGTCCAACTTTCTCCAAATTGAAATCCGATTGAACCGTTGGGGTCAGACAGTCAAACTCTACACAACGATATAATTTTCATTAATTATTGAAAACTTTATAATTCACTTATTTTTGGGGTCCTTCTCAATAATTAATTAATTCTGATAGGCCTATTTTCGGGGCGTTACATTTCTCTCATCCTTAAAAATAATTTTGTCCTCGAAATTACCTGAGTCATTGATTGAAGAGATTCAGATATTGCGTTCTTATTGACTCTTCGATTTCCCATGTTGCCTCTTTAGTCGAGTGATTCCTCCATAGTACTTTGACTATAGGTACAGATTTGTTTTTCAATTGTTTGACCTCTCGTGCCAGAATTTGTACAGGTTCCTCCTCACAAGTTAATTGTTCATCAAGAGTTACGATTCCCTCGGTCAAGATATGCGATGGATCGGAACGATATCTTTTCAACATCAATACATGGAATATGTCATGGATCTTGTTAAGTTCTGGTGGAAGTTCTAACCGATATGCTACTGGACCCACACGTTCAGTGATTCGATGGGGTCCAATATATCTCGGACTTAGTTTTCCCTTCCCACCGAACCGTAACACTTTCTTCCACGGTGAGATTTTCAAAAACACCTTGTCATCAACATTGTATTCGATTTCCCGAAGTTTTAAATCGGCATAAGATTTTTGTCGATCGGAATCTACTTGCAGTCGTTCTCTGATTAGACGAACCTTTTCTTCAGTTTCACGGACGAGATCAGGTCCTTCAAGCTTTTGCTCGCTTAATTCTGTCCAGCATACTGAGGTTCTACAACGTCTCCCATACCATAACGAGTACGAAACGCAGTCTTTGGGATGTCCTCTTTCTTTACAGGGATTTGATGGTATCCTGACCGTAAGTCAATTTTAGAGAATACAGTAGATCCTCTAAGCTGATCAAATAAGTCATCGATACGAGGTAAAAGATATCGATTTTTGATTGTGACTTTGTTTAATTCACGGTAATCGATGCAGAGTCTCATCGAACCATCTTTCTTTTTGACAAATAGAACGGGTGCTCCCCAAGGGGAAACACTAAGACGTATGAATCCTTTATCGAGCAGTTCTTGTAGTTGAGCCTTCAACTCCTTTATTTTAGCAGGAGCCATGCGATAGGGGGTTGCAGATATCGGTCCTGTTCTAGGAACAAGGTCAATAGAAAATTCTACTTCTCTCGAAGATGGTATACCAGGAAGTTCGTCAGAAAATACGTCAGAAAAACCACATACTGTCGGTATGTCTTTCAACTCAGGAGTTTCCTTTCGTGTGTCACGTACGTTACACAGATAAGATTCACATTTCTTCCGAATGAGACGCCTAGCGTGTATGTACGAGATGAATTCAGTGGATCTAGGTGTTAGCTTCTCTTTCACCTCTATAGACTTTCCCTCTCCAGACTTTAGTTGAATCGTTCGTCGTCGGCAATCGATAACTGCTTGGTGTTCGGTGAGCCAATCCATTCCGAGGATGATGTCAAATTCTTTGTACGGTCGTTTGAAAATATTGAAAGAGAACTGATGTCCTTCAACAATCAATGGACAGTCTTGATACACATGATCTAACCTCATACTATGTCCTAACGGATTAGACACTAGTATAGGTTGTTCTAAATGTTCTTTCATTATGTCAGCTTTTTCAGACATTTGTACACAGATATAAGACAACGTTGATCGAGGGTCTATCAACAAATGCATGACAGTATCAAATAAGGAAAACATACCTTGAATGACGTCAGGGTTTTCCTCAGTTCGTGCTTTCATTGCATATGTACGAGCAAGAGCTCGTCCTTATTGTTGGTTCTGATTCTTGGCTGGATTAGACCTCGTTGTTGAGCGTTGACTTGGTGCGGGTCGTGCCGATGCTGCTTGACTAACAACAGGGGCAGGTGGAAACGGTTCTTCGGGGTTTGTAGGGCACTTCTTTCGGTAGTGTCCTGGTTTTCCACAGCCAAGGCACAAACCTTGTTTCAACCAGCATTCTCCAGGGTGATTCCTTCCACAGTGTTCGCAAGCAGGATACCTTCGCTTTCTGGACTTATCAACGGATGCCATCGACTGAGTTTGCACAGATTTTCCCTTTTTAGAGAAATGTGAACTACTAGATTCCTGGAAGGGCCTTTTTCCTTTTAAGACAGAGTTGATGGGACGGTGAGTGCTTGAGTTAACATTGTTTGTCTTCAGATACTCAATGCAAGCACTCAAGTCACTGTCTGCCCTGGCTATGAGATCATAGGCCTCCGCGAAATCCAGAGTGGTTAGGACGGACACTCGGGACCTGAGTGTTGGAGTTGTGCCCTGATGGTCAACTGTTTATCATTATTCTATCATAGGCAGATATAATATGTTTACACATCTCATGCTAATGTAAACAAATATTATATTCCTAGATTTAGTTTTAAAGATGTTTATCACATAGTGTTATTCTGCTGATGAGACTAACATCTTGAAATAAATATTTTTCTAAATGTCCATAGTCGAGTATTAACGAGAGTGGGATATTGTTAATGCATGTGAGACTAGTGTGTGTTGGATGTTTGACTTAGTCTCATGGTCAATGACAGTGTGTTCGCATCCGCACATGGGCAGATATTATCTAGAGATAATAGGATGCCGGACTGACCCATTCTAAAGATGTTACTTGAATTTTTAGTTCATGCTCTAAGCATCTTTAGCGCGACCACGGGTGTAACTATCCTTCGACTTGAAGTATTAGGTTTTCTGCATATGTGAACCCGCATACTTTGATGCATTGTCCTAAGCCATATGAAATAAGGATGGTATACAGGCTTTGTTTTGGGTATGCCGCAGCGCGTATTCAGAAACGGAGATTACGTACATAGGATTTGTCACTAGTCTTTTTAAAGAGATTAATGTCTTATGGGGCCCACTGATAAGTTATGACTAAGGAAATTGCATGGCCATGCTGAGATGCTTTTATGACGTCTGTTCCTATTAGTCGGACTTGATAAATCAGTGAATGACTTAATGGATACAAGCTGGATTTTATTAATCCCTTGCATTAAGTTTAGACATTGAGACAAAGG